GGGAGAAAGGGAGCAACCCCCCCTCAGAGAAGGAGGACACTCAGTCGTGGGGGGGGACGGAAAGGAAGGCCCATGTTGGTTGTTCTTGTTTGGGAGAATGTTGAGCAGCCCCTCCTGAAGGGCCACCAGGACCCCCCCTTGGAGGCCACCCGTGGTTCATAAGCAGGGAAGGGGGGGCTGGACAGGGGAGACCCAAGTGCTGACAACAAAGAGAAAAATAATCGCGGTCCCTGATGCAGAGTGGGTGACCCAGAAGTCATGGCGAGTGTTTTCAGAGGCACAAAGGAAGATGGCTTTGAGCTGAACTGAACCAATTTGGAAATTTGCCTTCATTCAGAACTGAATCTGGGCTTTGGGGTTTAGTCCAGACTTTCTACATGACAGAATTTTGGATTTTCCCTAGTCCTCTGCAGTGCCCAACTTGAAATAAAATTCAGTAACACATTAAATAAGGCCTCCTTCAGTCTCAAGAGACGATGGTCACGTGCTCTGAATAGAGGTCTTGGAACAGGGTCTCATGTGGCTGAGGAGGCCACATTGAGAGTGACCGTCCCTTCCACACTGAAGACAGCTCAGGCAAACGCAGCTCTTCCACCCCGAAGATGCGTAGCCAGTTCTTTTGATCCCCATAGGTTTCGGGACTGTTTCAGTCGTAAGGCAGCTAACATTTGGGAATGCTCATATCGAGGCTTTCTCAAACTTTTGGACGCCAGCTGGTTTTAGCTCTCTCTCTCCTTTCATCCGTAAGCAAAACTCAACTGGCCTCTCATGGGAAAGGAAAGAAGTTTATCGCCCATTGTCCTGCAGAAAACATCTGGGACTCTTGTCTTCACCCAAGAAAAATCCCATTGGCACTGTGGAAATACTGTGTGAGAAATGACAGACACAATCAACAAAGAGCTCAAGTTACCCAATGACGCTGGAAGGATCAGATGTGGGGATTACAAAACACGGGGTCCACAATTAGATTTGTAGTCTCTGCAGTTGAGACACCTCATTGAGCGTGGTAGAATTCAATGGAGCTCAAAATCCAGCAAGATCTGTTTGCAAACACTTCACCATGTCCAAAATCTTCCATGTAGAAATGTATTTTATTTTCCACCTCGTTATTAGCATCAGTCATATATATGCAGGCTGAAACATGATTTACATTTCCTCGCTTGGTTTTTCATCTGGCATGTGCACACAGGGAGACTGTGAATGGCCGTCAGTATGTATTTGCATGCAATTAAAAAAAAAAACCTAACAACTTGCCTACAAGATGATCACACTTTCCCCGGCTGTAGATAGTCGTTCACATTTGCATTTCAGAGATGGGATATGGGTGGTATTTCCTGTCTAAGCAGTCAGACTTGCAAAGGAAAAAGACATGTTTACGGCCTAACGATGGACTCCAAAACAAAGCAAGCTAATTTGCAAGATGTGGGAGGTGAGAAAAATTCCTGCTGTGACAGTTGCACACAATCAACACTTGAGGAACACCTTCTTCCAACAATGGGCTATCTATAATGTTTTGTTCCATTCTCATTCTTCAGCTGCAGAAAATTCTAGTGTCAGCTTTAAAAGACTTATTTCTTTGGAGGAATGAAGCTCATAAAAGCCTTACACTGATTTGTAATATCTGTTTATTTATGAATATACAAGTCCCACAGAAAGGAGGCAGGACACAAGACAGCTTCAAAACAGCATCTGTTCTAGAGCAAGCCCCCAAAGATTATTCTTTCCATGGTGCATTTGGAAGAGTTGTGTGTTTGTCCCTTCCTCCACATGCAAATGTATCTGGGTTTTTTCATTTGTGGGATGATATCCTAGCAACAAACCCACATAGAAACCCACAACAGGAGAAGAAGCAGCCCAGAAGGGAAGCTCTGATTATAGCATTTTCCTCTGAAAAATCAAAATCGTTTCCTCTCTGTGGCCGTTTCTGTCCTCCGAAACAGGCCACGGAGACCCGCTGGTTTTCTTGAAATCAAATCATCACCTTTCAAGAGAGAGGCGCCCGCAGTCAAGGGACCCTCTTTCCCACTTTACATGTTGCTTTGATCGAAGTCCTACTTCTGAACAATCACCCCACCCTCCCCAAAACAGGCACTGAGGATGAGAAGATGCTGTAAATGTCCTTTCCGAACACCGCCAGAATCTTTCAAGATTGAATCCCTCCAGGCCAGCCCCATCGCTGGTCAAAGAAAGAGGAACCCAGCTCCAGTCTTATCCTTGGCGCCTCCACGGCCTCACACTCTGGTATCGATCGCATACATTTTGGCCGTGGGTGTCTGGGAAGGTGGACGGTCCAGGCTGGTCACGTCAGGAGGAGAGTAAGCTTTCCTCAAGGCGCTGGGGGAGAGGTACCTCCGTAAGCCGACATCTACGGCCCACAGCCCACGAGAGACAAAAACACACGGAAGCCACTGGTTAGCAGACACGTCAGAATAACAGCCGTCTGGTTGATACCTGCCTGATGGATGGATTCAGGCCCCCTCGGATTGTCATTGCTCACAGACTCCCCTGGCCAACCAGCAGATCCCTTTGGTCACTAAGGGGCAAACGGACCACTTCAAGGGGAAGGTGCATGTCCTGCTGTTAGCATAGTTTTCCTCCACGTCAGGGATTTGCAAAGACAGACAGACCTCAGCATCCCTCCTTGCCGATTAAGCCTGTGTTGACCCTCCCACAAAACAAAGCAATGCTAAAATATCTGGAATGCAAGATACGGAGGTGAAGAAAAGCAAGGGACAAGAGCAAACCAGACCTCTTAAAGTGGCATCTCTTGTCTGGTTTGACCTTCCGTGGATACGTTCCCCATGTTTACCCCAGGTCAGAGTGCAGCTTGAGCATCTGCAGGATCGGGGCTTCTGGAAGGAGATTGGATGGTACTCTGCTCTGGGTTCATTTTAGGGAACAGACTCTATTGGGCAGCATTAGATGCAGGATCCATCTCAGAAATGAGAGCATTTACTTGAATACCTTCTGGGTTCTCCAGCCAGCGTAGCCCATGACTACGGCGGCTTGAGATTTTGGGCCACGCTGGTTGGGGGTTCTGTAGTCCAAAAGAGTAACTTTTCCAAGCTCTAGGCATGGGGGTCAGATGAAGCAACATTTGACCGGGCTAAAGATGCTCAGGCTAGCACAGCCTCTGCTTTGGCTGCTCTTACCTCTGAAGAAATACATGCAACATGTCAAGAATGAGCCGGAGACGAAGCATCCCAGAGACCCGCTCAGTCCAAGCCAGCACGACCACCCGAATTTATACTGGATGCCCACAAAGACATTGTGCAAAACCAGAGTAGAGCGCTCCACGTAGACCCCAATGGCGTACCAGACAGAGCCAATGAGCCCCGGGACCCCTGCAAGAATTAAGAGGAAGTGGTTCTTTGTGCTGATCTCAGTGTGATCATCCTTCACCTCCAGCGTTGGAGTGCTCACCACCTCCCCCTGAAGTCATGGGTTCCATTGTTGTACTGCTCTAACAGTTAGAAAGTTTTTCTTGATATTCAATTAAAATCTGGCTTCCTGTAGCTTGAGCCCCTTATGGGCTGAAGGGACAAGAAGCCAGATTTTGATGGAATATCAGGTCAAGTAATCCCAAAGCGCATGTCCTCGATACAGGAATCCAAATCACAGGATATCTGCCAGGTGGTTGTCTAAATGTCTCTTGAATGCCTCCAACGTTGGGGTGCTCTTGACCTTCCAAGGTGAATGGTTCCATTGTTGTACTGCTCTAACAGTTAGGACGTTTTTCCTGATAGTCAACTGAAATATGGCTTCCTATAGCTTGAGTTCACTGTTATGAGTCCTGCACTTTGGGATGACTGAGATGTTGCCCTTACTCTATATGACAGCCTTTCCAGGATTTGAAGAGTGCTCTCCTATCTCCTCTCAGCCTTTTTTTCTCAAGGCTAAACATGCTCAGTTCTCTCAGTCCTTCCTCACAGGGCTTGGTTTCCAGCCCCCTGAGCATCATCCTTGTCCCCCTCCTTGGAACATGCTCCAATTGGTCAGCATCCTTCTTAAAAGTACATTGTCCAAAACTGGACACAGGACTCAATATGGGGCCTAACCAGTGCTGAATGGAGGGGGGGCTAGCACCTCTCGGGATTTGGAAACTATACTTCTGTTAATGCATCCTAAAACTGGAGTTGCCTTTTTTGCAGCCACATTGCACTGCTGGCTCATATTCAGCTTTTGATCTACAGTAATTCCAAGACCCTTCTCGCTCGTAGTATTACTGAGCCAAGTATCCCTCATCTTGTAACCGTGTATCTCGATTTTTTTCCCCTCGGTATAGAACTTTGCACTTATCCCTGTTAAATTCCATGCTGTTGTTTTCAGCCCAGCGCTCCAGCCTATCCAGATCTCTTTGAATGTTATTCCCGTCTTCCAGGGTACTAGCTCTTCCACCCATTTAAGGTGGATCACTCCATTCTGGTTTGATTCCAACATGTGTGATTACTGGGATCATACCTAAGTGGCTGACAAGCTGTCCCTTTGGAAAAAAAAAAACACCTTAACAGTCTTGAGGAACGGGAAGCTTCCTTTTCACTCGCCTGCAGAGAGGAAAGGAGAGGAAGTATTCAATTTATTTTTAATGGTTGCTCATACAACAGTGGTGCTTTGAAAGGATGTTTCTAAAGCCCTTTGAAAAGCACTGCTGATGTGCTGTGTCCCAAACATTAAACAGAAATGCAAAACTTCCCCTCCCTTCTCCTCCACAGGTGAGCAGAAAGGAAGCATCTCCATTCTGAAGATCACGAAGCAGCTTAAATAGAGCAAGGAGGAGACGGCTGGGGTGGTGGGATTTTGTATGTGTGCTGTTTTCTTTCCCTTTGAAGAAGTTTGTTCCCTACATCATGCTAAACAAATGAGGAGTGGTGGTGTGGATCTTTGTCTGTGGAAGCCAGGATCACCCCAAAGGGCATTACCACACTTTAATCCAGGCATCAAGTTGCGCTCTGTGTCATGAAGGAGAAATCCAAAAAATGCTGTGAATTTCTTCAGAATCATCCTGGATCTCTCCTGGTTTTTCTCTCTGTACTTGTAGAGAAAGACGATTTTCCAGGGAAAGACAGTGACCTGAATCTATCTAATATAAACCCATGGAATTGATCCATGGAATAAATCTTCTACGCTCACAGACAATCTCTAGCGCTAGGTAATGAGAGCACGGAAAAGCCTGCGATGGTTCAAGAAACTCTGGGAAATGCTGCGACTTCTCCTAACTCCACTCTTGGGTGAGGAAAGGTGGGTGGGTGGGACCACAGCTCTCAGACTTGCAGAAGGGGACCCACCGACCCCCTCCAATGCTCAGTTGCCAGCTACCTCCCACGAGCAGAGCTAATCCAGACAGGAAGCAGATGCGGTTTTTAATGCCTGGCTCATCCGTTAGGAACTTCACACAGTCAAGGCCCAGGAGAAGGAAGATGAATCCGAAACCGGCCAGGAGGTCTGCCGTGATCAGCATGGCCCGGGTCAGGATCAGTTTCACTGCAAAACAAGTGAGACATCTGGGAGTATTTAATGCAGACCTTTTGCAAGTGAATCCCTGTTACCCTTGATACAAGCGGTGGGGTCACTACCTTCCGGTCTTGCCTGACACTATCCAGCAGCTGGGAATTGTGGGATTCCTCAATCACAGGCTGCATTCATTCATTCATTCATTCATTCATTCATTCATTCATTCATTCATTCATTCATTCATTCATTCATCCCACCCAACTAGTGGTGAAGAATGCTGTGAACCCCAAGCAGAGGCTGAGTGCCCTTCTGTGAATTGGTGACAGGAGTACCCCATGGTAAGAGGAGATGATGGCTAAGACTTTAAATATACTGTATATGTGTGTGTCTTCTTCAGACACACGAGATGGAAAACACAGGCTACATGGTGAAACCTCCAGGCAAGGCTCCGAGATGAAGGGACTGCGTGGACGTGTTGCATGGACGCTTTACCACGTCATCTCTGACTCATATGTCTGAAGAAGCAAACCGTGTTCCATTAAAATGGAGCAGTCTTTAAAAGGCCGTAATGTCTTTTTATTTTTTATTTTTTATTTTTTTTGCTTTTGTTTTGTTTTGTGTTTCTCGTTGAAAAGTTTGCACCAACTGAAACGGGTACAACTTCAAAAACGACATGCCATTCATATGTTCTTAGGAGAGGCAGCAACTTTGAAAGATCTCTGAGGGTTACACTAGGAGCCTTCCACACCTTCCTCTGGCAGGAGGGGCTGCTTGCACGGCAAGACTTCCACACGTCTAAAAGCGTGCCATAGCACTTTTCAGCATCTACAGTGGTGCCTCGCATAACGAGCACACCGTTTAACGATGAATCCGCATAGCGATGCGGATTTTGCGATTGCATACAGATGATTTAGATGGGAAAAGATCGCTTTGCGACGATCGGTAAGCGTTTCGCTTACCGATTTTCGCATAGCGATTTAAAAAAACAGCTGATCGGCAGTGCCTAAAATGGCCGCCCGCAGCGTTTTCGCGCCCTGCCCTCACTTACCAAGGGCGTGAAAATGGCGGCCGGATGGGGAATCTTCACAGAACGGTGAGTTTATCCCCCATAAGAACGCATTAAATGTGTTTTAATGCGTTCTTATGGGTTTTTCTGCCTCTCATAGCGGCAAATCCACATAGCGACATTTTTCCTGGAACCTCATAGCGGCGAATCCACATAGCGACATTTTTCCTGGAACTGATTAACGTCGCTATGCGGGGCACCACTGTACTTTGGTGCTCTCTGTAGGGTGTAGTTTGGCCCCCTAGACAGCCAAAACAACAACAACAACAACAACAACAGCAGCTAGACAGCCAAAGCAACAACAACAACAACACTGCCGCTGAAACATCTCAGAGAGCCTTTTCCATGCAGGCCTTGAAGAGTGCTATTAATAATCTTTGCAGCTGCTGAGCTTGGTTGTCTAATGAAGCTTTGAGACAGACAGAGACGCTCCCTGGCACAAGAGGGATACAGACACAGTAAAATAAAAACCTTCCATCATCAGCTGAAACATTGGACGCGGCTGCTGCTGCATTTTGCCACATGAGATCCATGTTCAGAAAGTGAAATCAAGGGGGAAATCACAAAGCACTCCTTCCCCTGTCTTCCCCCCCACCCCCTTTCTAAGATTTACTTCTTGGAGTTTTCGTGATTTATTTGCGTGTCAGAAGGGTTTTTCCTCCTGTTTCCTCTCTTGAGGCATGTTATCAATTGTTGCAAATCACAGGATGCAAAGAATAAACTAAAGCGACCTGATTGGTATTGGGTTATGTGTATTGTAAATTACGTATAAGGTTGGCACTATAAAAATAAATACTTGAAGTCAAATTGAACTTAGACACCTATTTTCATTTACGGCCAAAAGAGAAAAAAACTTCGCTTTCCTTTTTTTTCTGCAGAGAGGCTCCACCAAGTGGCGGAAGGTGTTTGCTTGCCTGATTTTTCATGCTTGCACTTAGTTTTCAGTCCTTTGATCCGATCCATTTGCAAGTCTGATTGCTTAAAGGGATGCCTCTGAAGAAACCCTTCCAGAAGAGGGAAAACATGAGGATTTGCCTGCCTCTGGTTTGACCCTCACTTTCTCTCCTTCTGGTGACACATCATTGTAAAATTTATTTTATTTTATTTTCTGAGCCTTCTCAGAGACCTGCTTTCCTCAGATGTGACATCATATGTTCACCTCCCCCCCCCCAAAAAAAACAACTTGGTTTAAAAAGGCTCCAAGTGCGCCTACCTGGGTGCTCAGCCAATATGGAGTCGTATTCATCACAGGTCGTTATCCCGTCAAAGGCGTTGGTGACGCACTCCCACCACAGACCCCGGCATGTCGCGCTCAACTACAGGGAAAGGAGTCAGTCGTATTAGCGCTGCAGTTACAACAAGCAGAGGCGTAAGGAGAGTGGAGCGTCTGGGGCTTTGACTCAAGGTGATGACATTTCGAGCGTGCAAAAATATGCTGCTGGAAAGGTGCCGATTTTGCCCCATTTTATGTGCTGCTGGGGGAAGGAACCCTCCCACCGTAAGGCTTTCTTTGCAGGGGAAGCATGCCTCTGGAGCGGTGGTTCCGGATCTTGGGTCACCCAAGTATCCTTGGACTGCAACTCCCAGAAAGCAACTCCCGGGCAGCCCAGCTGGTGGGCAAGGCTTTTGGGAACTGCAGTCCAAGAACACCGGGGCTGACCCAAAGTGGGGAACCACTGATTGAGAGCAGTGGTGGCCAACCTTGGGTTCCCTGATGAACTAACACTCCCAGAAGCCTTCGCCACGAGCTGGGCTGCCTAGGGTTTCTGGGCTGTGTAGTCCAAGAACATTGGGGGATCTAGAACCCTATGCAGGGCAGAGCAACCAGGGCTCACCAAGATTTCAAATGCTCAAAAACGTGTTGGTGGAAAGACACGGAGCAGCCTGTGAGTGCTTGCTGCTACAAGGGTAGGTGTGGACCCACCCATCCATCCTGGATTCCTGCAGCTGCTTCTTCCTAGGCAGCTGGAAACAAAGGAGGTGGGCTCAGCGCACGATGAACATGACCGCCCCATGCTCAACCCCAGAGGTTCTTGGCTGTTCTCTGTCCTCTGCCTCCATCCACCCATCTCATGGGTTCCAAGCCCAACCCATAAGACAGCCAAACCTCAGGAGCCAGATATGGGCTAGTTCTGGCTCTGATGATAAGTCCTTGCCCCAAGGAGCTTGCACATTCTGTTGCAAGAACCGGAGGAAGGTCAGAGGGGGAAGGGAGACAAACAAAACCACGCATCCTACACTGATATTCTTCCAAAGAGGTGAAACCTGGAAAATTAAAGGTCACGTTATCTCTAGAAGACGGGCGTGATCTGCCGTCAAGTCTGAACCAACCCTAACAGGGAAGTGAGTTGTATAGGGGTTGGTTTTACCAGTTCCACTCCACCAGTGAGTCTCCATGGCTGAGCGGGGATTTGAACCCAGGCCTCCTGAGTCAGAGTCTGTCACTCTCTCCACGGTACCACTGAGTAAGCAGATGGATGCAAAGGCAAAATCTTTCTCGTTTGCTTTCTTGCTTTCCACACGAGCGTTCCAGAGTGTCCTTTGCTGCTGCTACCACTAGGCATTCTGCTGGCCTGCCTCCCGGGGGACAGGGATCATTGCCCACACGCATTATTTAGAGAGGCAATGAGCCGGCGAGGTGAGGAAAGCCACTCCGTCCGTCAGGTATTAATGCCCGAGGCCCTTCGCCAAGCAATTTGGTATTCATACTCAGAGCTGAAGGGGGTGAAGCGTGGCGCCAGTTCACCCCCAAGGGCAGATTAATGAAACACAGAAGGGACTTGGCCGCCCGCTGGAGGTGCCTCTGACCCCCAGAAAACAAGGTTAGAAAAATCTTTGCGGCTGCTCGCGATGATGATTTATCCACAGCCCCTTGAGCTGCCCGAGAGAACAGTCTGTTGATCAGGCTCTCCTTTGCTGAACTGGCAAATATTCCTTCCCAGTTGGAGGGCCCGGAGTTTGGGTATAGTTTTAGACTGTGACTCCCATCCTCCTCCAACCAACACTGATGGGGCCGAGGGATTCTGGCCGTGGCAGACCATTAAAGTAACAGCTAAGCTCTGCAAGAGGGAGACCGGAGTCGGTTTAGCAGCATTAAAACTCCTTTCATTCTGCAGTTCTGTGCTTCGCTGTCACTCGACGAGCCGTTGGATTTTCAGAAAGCTCTGTTGCCAATTTGAAGCACTCAAATTTACCAGGGGGATAAGAAGTGCCGGAAAGGCGTCGCTTCTCCATCTCCCAAACGTGATTAAGAAGAACATCAAATGTGCATTGAAGGATGCTAGTTAGAGAAAGGAATGGGTGGGAGATCATGCCAAAGTCTCTCTCTCTCTCTCTCTCTCTCTCTCTCTCTCTCTCTGTGTGTGTGTGTGTGTGTGTGTGTGTGTGTGTGTGTGTGTGTGTGTGTGTGTGTGTGTGTGTGAGAGAGAGAGAGAGAGAGAGAGAGAGAGAGAGAAATTCTTACCTCCCTAGGGTTTCCCACCTGTTCCTGGACTAGAGAGTCCTGATTATTGATTGATTGATTGATTGATTGATTGACTGACTGACTGACTGACTGACTGGCTGACTGATTGATTTGCTGCCTTTTTCCCCCTAGGGCAGGGTTTCCCAACCTTTTTCACCCCACAGGCTGGCTGGGAAAAGTGAGGCACCCCTGTGCTCATGAGCATGCTCAAAAAATGGCCCAGCGCTTGTACCGGTGCATGCATGCTTGTGCGCATGCACACAGGCGTGCAGACACCCGCACAAGCCCCACGTCACCATTCGCGCATGCGCACAAGCACACACACAGGCACAAACAGCCTTTGAGGGGGTGAGTGCATGCGCTGGGTGGGGCGGGAGGTCTGTCTTCGTGGCCCGGTCCAGCTCCGGCCATGGACCAGCACTGGGCCATGGACCGGGTGTTGGGGACCTCTGGCCTTGGGGTGATGATCTATAGCGCCTGCCTCCCAGCAACTGAAACCTGTCTAGAATCATAGACCAGTAGTGCTCAAGCCGAGATTTGGCACCCCCTTTCAGGGGCGGGCAGCTCCTCCTTTCCACAGAGTACGGCTGGCTTTCTTCCCTGGTAGCCGAGACCGGATGTGCATTTGATGGCAATGCTCCAAGTCGTTCATAGAAGACCTCTCCTCAAAGAATGGGAGTGCGTTTGCCAGGGGTGGGGACTCGGGGGGCCGGACTCGCTGCCAAGTTGGACTCAAGTCACGCCGGTGATTCGGTTTGGGCATGACTCAGGTTTTTCTTGCAGTCACTTGGATTTGGCTCGGAACCCATCCTCCCCTCTCGGGGGGGAGCTTGTTTTTTTAATGGGGACACTGACTTGGAGCTTGGGACTAAAGACTTCGACTCAGACTTATGACTCGGACCTGCAGACTTGCCAACGTCCCTGCCATTTGGGCATCTCCCGGGCAACGACAACCCCTTTAGCCAATCCTTCCGCACCAGAAGCAGCTCCATGAGATTGCATAAGCACCATCGGATGAGGGATGGTCCAGCTTCTGCATCGGCCTGCGAGGGGCCAGCCATGGACAAAAGGGCCGTCTGTCAAGGCCAAAGCTGACCGTGGTGTCTGTTAATACGGAGGGCTTGTCAACATCCAAAGGAGAGCTTCTGCCTCAGCCCTGCCTAGGGTTGCCGGATACATGGGTACCAAAAGGAGGACATAGAAAGACAAAAAAGAGGACAGAGGAGGACGTATGGAATGTTTCATTTGAATCGTTCCGGATTAAACCCGCAATGAGTACGATTTTATTACAATAGCTGCCAATAAATGTCTCTTAGGAACCGACCAAGAAACAATCAAATTAAAAAATAAAATTAAATTCAATGGAGGCTTTTTTCCAAAATTTCCTTCCACCTCTCCCCCTCCCACCCAAAATTATAACATAAAATATACAAAAGCCTGACATTTTAAAGGTTTTTATCTTTGCCTGCCGGACGGAGGATAAAAAATAAAAAAAGGAATTCAATGGATTCCACCTCTCCCCCCTCCCATCCAAAATTATAATATAAAATATGCAAAAGCCTGACATTTTAAAGGTTTTTATCTTTGCCTGCCGGACGGAGGACATTAGGCTAAAAGGAGGACATGTCCTCCTTTTGGCTGACGTCTGGCAACCCTAGCCCTGCCAGACCCGTGGTTTTGCTCTACTTTCCCTTCAAGAAACGCCTTGCGAATGGGATTCCTCGTGCCACATTTCCCTTGGTTAACCGTTCAGGAGGAGCGAGCAGCTTGTAAAATGCAAAACAGAATGAGCCCAGATGTTCTTGCAACATCTGTTTCATTGGAAGATGGCTACAGAGTTTGGGGCCTTTTTCAGGCCCCGGAGGGCAATAAGGACAAGCCCACAAGTAGCGGCGACACCGCGGAACTTTGCTTAAAGGATACTGGACAGGTTTGAGTCCCCTCTTGCCACCCACGAGGCACTTCTTGTTTGTGAGAAGCGGACGATGAAAATTCATGACCAGGGAACAAGAGCCATTGCCATCGACTTTACAACCTTCCTTGTCGATGGCCCTTTTTTAAAAGTTAGGCTGAGAAAGACCGTGCAACCTAATCTATGGTGTGCTCACAAAAGAAATGCAATATATGTTCCTGGAAGCAAACCTTAGGAACAGAAGAAAAAAAAAACAATAGAGAGGAAGTAAATGTGTGAGGAAGTGGGGGAGAGCAGAAGAGACAAATACCTCTGAAATGCCTTTAGAATTTCAGGAACAACACATTATTTTTTGCTTTCTTCTGTTTAACATAGCCAATTAATCACGTAAGTATGAATCAATTAATCTGGTGCCAGGAGCTAAACCAATTCTGAAGGGGGGGGAAGTCCCACTTTCTCTGTTTTCAAATCGTGTCTGCCTATGTTCTAGCCACCTGCTTTTATGAGAGGCGTCTCTGCCTGGGGAAACAGCATGTTTTGCGATTGCTCTAAGCGTGCAGATTGGAATCAACTTTCTGAAAACAGTGCCCCATAAAAGTCAGAGAGGTTGTCTTCCATAGGTGAATTCTTCACCCACCTACTCAGAAGTAGAGGACTGCAACCTAATAAGCACCTCCTTGGACGTCTGTGCTGCAGAGTTTAGTGGCGCTGGATCCCACTGATGATGACGTTTTGCAAATTAATGTGAGCCCAAGAACCAAATCGCTGCTCTCAGGAATTTATGATCCATATTCGCCCAACCCCTTTTTTTCTGGGATGGTTCCAATGCTACTAAAGACTACATGACAAGCAGAAAGCCAACTGGTGCAGTTTTCCATCACTGCAACTGCACCTTGTCTCAGGAAGCTGCACGTGATGAATTTCTGCCTGCCACATAGCCATTAAAATTCCAGGACAAATCCTGTGATTTTTTTTTAAGTGGCTGCAATCCGTCCCCAGTGGCAGCAGGGCTCAAGGAAGGACAGTTTCTGGGTGGCATTTACCTCCAGGGTGTCGTCCGTGTTCACCATCCAGCAGTCTGTCCACGTAGCAGCAATCAGAAAGCCGGCAGAGAAGAAGGCGAAGCAGCAGCCCAGGTACTGGAGAAGGTGCTTCATTCCTTCCGAAAGGAGGGTGTCACCCCCACCGGCTGGGTTCAGGTCTCGCCAGCCCAACTGCAGAACCTCAGCTCAGCAGCGCCCATCAGCCATCACCGCTGCTTCTGGCTTTTCTTCTAGTAAATGATGCACAGGAAAGCAAACAAGCCCCCGGGGTGTCGTCCACCTGGAGGGGGACCCATCAGTTGGAACAGGAGGAGGAGGAGGAGCAGGTGGAAAGAGGTTGTGGCTTGTGTGAAGCCAAAGCAGAGCAGCAACCAATCGCCAGCGTCCGGCTGTCCTTCATGGATGAAAAGAAAAGAGAGTCAACTTTCAAAAAAAAAGTCCAGTTGGGTCCTTTTGGGTAGAAAGGCAAGGTAGAAATATTATGTATATATATTCTTTATATCTATAAATCTTTCAGAATCGTCCCAGGTGACTTTTGTCAGAAAACCGGGAAGCAACAGGAACAAGGGTTGAATCCTAGAAAGTGTCATATAAAAAGTAACCGTCAGGATCAAATGCTCTTGTACATTTATTTAGGGCCAGGTGGGTCTTGGGTACCACACTATGTGTGTGTTATAGTCTTGTCTGTGTTCTGTTGTTCCACAGAATAGCCCATTTGTGTTATCTTTCCAGAGCAAGAGTGCTGTGGAAGGAGAGCCTCTGGACCCAGAAGGCCCCTCGTGGCTGGGAATGGTTTATTTATTTTGTTTTATTTATTAAACGTATGTACCGCCCATCTAGAATATGTCTACTCTCGGCGGTTTACATAAAACATAAAAATTAATGCACAAGAGGAACATGGCAAGGACTTTCTTCGGACAGCTGCAATGACACAAGGATGATGTTTGCATAACCATCTTGCATTTTGCACAAATACCCAAACACATACATAGTTTTGCAAAGTCTTGCAAAGCTAGCCTGGGAGGCCCGCTTTGGATGAAGGAGCTTCTTCTAAGCCAACCATCCGTTTGCGTAGCTGGTGGCAGGAAGAGCAAGAAAGAGCAAAATGGGAAGGCCCGGGGTTAAGACTCCCTCCTGGTGGCCTCTGTAGAGGCAGCCGCTGGATCAGACCACAGCGACAGCTTGGCAACTTCAATCCACCACCAAGAGACACCGGAGGAAAGTGTAGTGGAAGGAAAGGTCGTTGCCCTTAGGATTCGGTGCCACAGGTGTGATTTGCTCTAGGTCTTGTTGGTCTTTCTGGCAATTCCGCGGTATCCACAAAGCTTTCGTCCCACACCACATTTCAAGCACATTAATTTTTTCCCCGTCAGCTTTCTTAATTGCCCAGCTTTCACTCTTGTACATGGCTACTGGGAATACAAGAGTGTGGATGATCTTAGTCTTGATCTCCAGGGACACCTCCTTGCGCATAATGATCTTTTCTAATTCTTTCATTGCCATCCTTCCAAGTTTCTGTCTCGTCCTGATTTCTTGGCTGCACTCTCCGTTCAGACTGATGATTGGACCAAGTTGCCCAGAATCCTTCACTCTTCCAGTTTCTTCACTGTCAACTTCAAAGTTGTGTAGCGCTTCTGTTGTCATGATGATTTCGGTCTTCTTTGCATTCAACTGTAGTCCTGCTCTGGCACTTTCTTCTTTCACTTTCATCAAAAGTCATCTCAAGGGATTGCTGATTTCTGCCCAAGAAAACATGGAGGAAAACAGCAACGTCCATCCTTCTCAGTGTGTATGTTTCAATGCACTGCTGTTGGGTTATGGATACAGTCAGAGGACAGAACTTGGGAAACAGAAGATAAGGTTTTCAAAGAATTATGTATAAAAAGCCAAATGCAACATTTTAAATTCAGAAGTGTTTTGCATCCTCAAAAGCCAATTTTCAAATGGTTCAGAATTCTAAAAAGTGCAACTGGAATTGAAACATTTTGGGTTTTGAGCTGGTGCAGAATTTCCCCCCTATTTTAGTTGAACTGTGAATATTTTCCAAGGAATGTGAGCCCAGGGCTCCTCCTGTTCCTACCCCCACCCCTTGTACCTAAGAAAAATGCTTTGGTCCATGTCAACTAATAATTATGTGCCATCAAATCAATTGCAAGTTAGGGAGACCCTTGACAGGGGTTTCCCGGGGATAAAGTGCTCCAGAGTAAATTTTCTTCTGATGGCATTCTGGAACCTCTATGCACCTTGGCCAAGGTAATGTGGGGAATTGAACTCACAACCGGGTACTCCAACTCACTGAGCGACCCAGCCGGCTTTGCTTGGTATTACCCACTAGCAAACAGAAGGCTTCCCACCACAGAATCGTCTTGTATTCTGAAATGGCCCACCAGGTGGCAGCAGCAACTTCAATATAGGAGTCACAGTTGAGAAGCGAATTTGGATTTAAAAATTCAAGCTGGAGGTGGCCTCGTAAATAACATTGGCAAATACCTGCAGAATGTCTCTCTCCCCCAGTATGTATGTATGTATGTATGTATGTATGTATGTATGTATGTATGTATGTATGTATGTATGTATGTATGTATGTATGTATGTATATGTGTGTGTGTGTGTGGGGAGACCCTTGACAGGGGTTTCCCGGGGATAAAGTGCTCCAGAGTAAATTTTCTTCTGATGGCATTCTGGAACCTCTATGCACCTTGGCCAAGGTAATGTGGGGAATTGAACTCACAACCGGGTACTCCAACTCACTGAGCGACCCAGCCGGCTTTGCTTGGTATTACCCACTAGCAAACAGAAGGCTTCCCACCACAGAATCGTCTTGTATTCTGAAATGGCCCACCAGGTGGCAGCAGCAACTGCAATATAGGAGCCACCGTTGAGAAGCGAATTTGGATTTAAAAGTTCGACCTGGAGGTGGCCTCGTAAATACCTGCAAAATGTCTCTCTACCCCACTATGTATGTATGTATGTATGTATGTATGTATGTATGTATGTATGTATGTATGTATGTATGTATGTATGTATGTATGTATGTATGTGTGTGTGTGTGTGTCGAGGCCCATGTTGATGCTAATCAAGCTTCCAAGGGCAGGGTCTTCCACCGCTGGGGCGCGGCTGCTATGTGTCTCCACGTAAGGAACCCTCCCCAGCAGATCTCAAGGACTGAGCAGGTATATCTAGGAAGAGGCACTTCTTCAGCTATCCAGCTGCCAGGGCTTTATAAGTTGCTTTCAACCCCTTGAACTCAGACCAGATGTGAACAGTAAAATGTAAAATATTTAAAAGAATTAAAAACCATTAGAAACATCAAAACCGTAGCACTAAATCCTCAGCGCACGTTCCCCCCCAAAGGCTCTCATCAATAAGTATGTCTTGACTTGGTGCCAAACCGAGGCCCATGTTGATGCTAATCAAGCTTCCAAGGGCAGGGTCTTCCACCGCTGGGGCGCGGCTGCTATGTGTCTCCACGTAAGGAACCCTCCCCAGCAGATCTCAAGGACTGAGCAGGTATATCTAGGAAGAGGCACTTCTTCAGCTATCCAGCTGCCAGGGCTTTATAAGTTGCTTTCAACCCCTTGAACTCAGACCAGATGTGAATTGGTAGCCAGTGCAAATCCTCCATGTGGCTTCTGAAGGATGTTCCAGTTTGCAGTCTAGCTACCATGTCCTGCACCTGCTGCAACATATATGCCATCTTGAAGGGTAGACCCACACAGAGTGCATTGCAGCAGTCTAACTGGGACGTTGCCAGGGCATGGACTACCGTGGCCAGTTTATGTGCTCAGACCCAGGGATTCCCTTCCAATTTCTCCATTCATGTCTGTGCATTCCAACCTCCCATGAACCAGGCCTAACCTATTAGGCAGCGACACCCCCCCGTCTACCAAATTGCTGGCTACTGCTTTGCATGCATCATAATTATCTCGCTCATCTTTGGGAGTGATGGGTTCCTGTGCCCTGGGAGTGCTCTCTCTTCTCGTGAAGGCTGGGCCACCAGCCACTCCTTTACCTTCCAAGATTGGCCACCTTGTGACTCAAGGACGTGGCTCTGGTTCCGAGGGAGGAGAAGCAGCAGGAAGTTCTCCTTTGTCAGAACTTGCAATTGCGGAAGCCGAGTGAGGGCCACTGCCTGGAACTGATCACCTTGCTCATGTGCGGAAAACAGAGCCGCAAGAGGAATGCATGCCCTACTTCCTCTTTAGGGGAAGAGAGTGAATCGGTGTGGGAAGAATGCAGGGGTTTATGGCATCCGAGGCTCGTGCCCGCCCTGCATGCGTGACGCAACGTCTAAGGGCCAAATCCAGTTGCTAAGTCCCAACCGGACGGCACTGAGAGGAACCGTGACACTTAGGCAGGTGTTGACTTCAGAAATCTCATGTATTCAATGGGTTTACTTTAACAGGAAGGAAAAATTAATGGGAACAACAATTATGGGCCGGTTGGTCTGATGTCGCTCGATGGGTTGGAGACTGGAAGTTAGGATTCCTGCTGGGACTCCTGAGGGATGCATCAGCTAAGATCATCCAGAGCTTTTTGGGGTTCGGGGAGAACTGATGGGATGACGTCTTTGTTTGTTTTATAGGCTACCTTTCTCCAGATAAGGGGACTCAAGGCGGCTCACAATATTGAAAGGAACAGAATTAAAAACAAGGAGTAAGGCGAGGTAAAAATATTGTAAATAAAACGAAGTAGATAGATAGATAGATAGATAGATAGATAGATAGATAGATAGATAGATAGATAGATAGATAGATAGATAGATAGATAGATAGATAGATAGATAGATAGATAGATAGATAGATAGATAGATAGATAGATAGATAGATAGATAGATAGATAGATAGATAGATAGATAGATAGATAGATAGATAGATAGATAGATAGATAGACAGATAGATGGACGGACGGACGGACGGACGGACGGACGGACACGGACACGCACGCACACACACACAAACAACTGAATAATTCAAAATAGGTAAAACATTAAAAACTATGGTTGTTGTAGGTTTTTCGGGCTGTCTGGCCATGTTATGAAGGTTGTTCTTCCCAACGTTTTGCCAGTCTCTGTGGCCATGGGCATCTTCAGAGGACAACACTCCCAAACAAACTGCACCAGAGCACAGACAGAGTTCTGACTCCTGTCCTCTGAAGATGCCGGCCACGGAGTCTGGTGAAAAGTTAGGAAGAAAAACCTCCAGAACACGGCAGAAGAGCCCGAAAAACCCACAAAAACCATTAGATCCCGGCCGGGGAAGCCT